TGTGTGTGTGTGTGTGTTTGTGTGTATTTACGATTGTGTGACCAGGTGCAAGGTTTATGTGAGAGTGTGTTTTAGACAGGTACCCTGCTGCAGGTGTTAAAGACTCAAGGTGTGTCTTGCCTCTCTTTGCCAATCTGAATCCCTTTCCTTGTGCCCAGTAGAGTGTGACACGGTTTGAGTACATAGCTGGTGACAGATACACTCTTGTGACAAACTTAAAGGCAGGAATAGGAAGTCTGTATTACTTCAGGCCAAAGCTCCACCTGAATGCTGAGTGTCTGAGGAGAGTTCTCGTACTGACACAGTGCAGCTGCTAGCATGCCTGAGCAAACACATACTCACAAGCATGAACACACACATACGTGACACGTATTCACATGTATACACTATGTGGAGGCAGTTGACATTCACATCAGTGGTCCACAGCTGTAGAAGGGCTGGGCTCTGAAGTTGTGAAGTGAAGTTTGTTGTGAATACATTTCTTATGAAAGTAGAATGAAAGTTATTATTTTCAGACTTATTTTTCATGTTAAAAACAAAACTAAAATTAGAATGGCACTCAGTAGAGGAAAACCCTCGCCAAGGCTCAACAGTCCTCCGAAATTCAATCAAACTACAAACAAAGTTTCACACACTGTTTTGATATCAGTTCTTATAATGTGCCTGATCCTTTTTTTAATCAAGACCCATAAATATCCTGGGAAATCTGTCAAGACAGGAAAAAAATACAAATAAATCGTTAAAGAGAATGATAAAAGAAATCCTGAAACTGCCAGTTTGGAAATGCTAACTGGATTTACTGGGGTGATTCAGTGTGTACTACCGCAGAGCAGAGCGACATGGACACCATGTGAGAGACACCTGTAACCACGGTAACTGCAAAGATGGTGACAGACCTAGAAACAACAAAATAAACTGCAGAAAAAATTTGATCAACAGGTTACTGATGAAAACAACTGGTGACTAAAACTAAAAAATTCAATTGACTTAAAGTAAATTGAGGCTAAAACAAAAGTTCGTCAAAAGAATACAATTAAAATCAACTTAAAAAAAACATCCTCTCACTTCAACCACACCATCTTTTACAAACACCATCCAACTCTTCACTTGTTTGGCTCTAATTCACCCATGTTTGTGGTAACTGGGATATCAGGCATACCTCCAACAGCTCCCACAATGCACCAGCACAAATTACATTTTGCTCACATGGCTGAGCCCCCCTCTCCTCTGTGCATCCCTTTTCATGGTTTTCCTTTTCACTTTTCTCCTCTACTCACTCTCCTCATTTATCTTCCAACGAAGTCATTTTCCAACCTGCTGATGTTGCTCAGGTTTATATTTCTGTGAGTGCCTGCAGCTTCCTCCCGGTTCAGCCCTGCGCTGTGACGGCTTATGAGGAGCAGAGCTGTATGTTTGGCTAATGGCTACAAGTAGCATCAAAACTGTATGTAATTGTACTGACGTTCCAGCATTGTAATGAATGAAATATGCATCTTACTGTCATCTCTTCTGTTCTCAGATTGCTTTCATCTTCGGCAAACAGCCAAAACATCCCTCAAGGGCTACTTTCACATTGTGTGTTAGCAAATTGAAAGTGGCTTTTTATGCTATGATTGATGGAACTGGTGGCATTCGGAATACATAAGTCGACAGTGATGGATTCCCATAAATATGTCATGTGTACAAAACTGATTGATGGTCAAGCCTTGGACCTTTTTACCCATGTCAGTCCAGATCTCGTTGTTATTCCAAGCTGACATCTTCGTTGGTGTCTTCTACATAAATGGCACCTCTTTTTAATCCTGGGATACATAAATATATATATATATATATATATATATATATATATATATATTTTTTTTTTGTTAACAACTGCAGAAGCCTTAAAATTTGTATAGTGAACTGTAACAAGCTTCACACTCTGACAGGGTCAACTTAAGTGCAGCCATCCTCAAGAAACCAAACTAAATGTCTTGTTTTAGAGTTTGTACATTCAAAAGGGAAATAACAGACCTCTTCACATACGACTTCTTAAGAAGTCTGAACATCAATTTGTACACTAGCAGCACTTTCTCTGAACTAGGCACTGTTCGCTTATTAAAGTAGCGATCCATGACATCTAATCAATTATTTCCACCGCCTCAGCACATTTTCTTTTCTTTTTTTTAAAGAAGCCCTTAATAAAAAATATGAAGTATTTCCACTACTTCTTCCACTTGTCCAAACTAAGAATCACTGCGCTCCTTTTGTGAAGAAGCATCATCTGTTCGGCTTAAGCACAGTTTGCATAATTCAAACTCTGCTACTTTTAAAAATGTTTTGAAGTCGATCCCTGTGGTTAATGGGAGAACTCCAGATTTCTTATGGCATCATAACAGCACATTTAGCTTTGCATGCATCGAGTACAGTATGGTTACGGTTCTGTGATGCAGTATATTGAAGACAAGTGTTCAGTGGCCTCTGTGTACGTAGTTGCTTCATCATCAATCATTCATGTTGACATTTCTTTTGATCTAATGTCCCTCTGCGTGTGTTTATGCACACACATATCACTGTTTGTGCAATTCTATGTACTCGGTTGTGATTTTTCTAGAGTTTTACGCTTCTCTGCTCTCTTGTCAGTGTGTGTNAGGTTTGAATAAAATCCTACGGATAATTTCCTGCAGTTCACATGGGTTCAGTCGGACATTATCCAGAGTTTTTACTAGGGGGCTGACAGGAGAAACTCCAGGGAATGTCTGCTGCAGGTTCAGTGCACTTCTGAAAGCAGTTTAAGACTAAACTAGAAATCTCCCACTGAGTGAAAACTTGTTATATTTCAGTGTGAAGTTTGTGGAGGTAGTAATCGCTCCTTTTTTGCTCTCCATGCTTCCACATAAAAATTGTGAACGCTTGTGTAAAAGGGAGTCACAGAGACAGGCTGTCAGAGGGGAGAGATCCTTCAATAGGGGATAATGGGGGAAATTTATTCTCTCAGAAAAGTTCAGCATGATAATAATGGGCGCCACTAAGCTACACAATGTGATTGGGAGGCGTGAGGGATGTGTAGAGGACATTTATCAGCGTGACACAGGACACAATGCTCTTTGTTTGATTGGTTAAATTAGTGGGAGCTCATTTGCTTCCGCTGCAAAATCCTTTACAGGGCTTTTTTTGTTGTGTTAATTAAGCCAGAGCAACCATTTTGTGCTTCCAGCATACTGGGCCGCAAAGGAGAGAAAAGGATCATTATTATTCCTCTCTTGCACCTCGAAGGCATTGTAGGTTGTTTTTTTATATGGTTTGCACCAAAGATGTGCTGCTTAAATGTGTATTTGCAAAAATTAGTTTGGTTTAGTTTTCCTCAGACAATTTCCTCCTCTGAATATAAATTCTTTTTTTGTCTCTCTGTGTAAACTGGAATGTTGCCAGTTGTGTGTTTGGTTACAACAGACAACAGACGTCTTACAGCAAACACTTTTAAACTGCTGAATCTGCAGCATTAAGGGTTTCAGGGGGAAGTTAAATCGGAAAAATGCATGGCTTAGGTTGGAGACACATTCTTCTCATGAATTCTCAGGATTTGTAAAAGTGCTTATTAAAACTCTATCTGAGCAAAAAGAATATCTGAATGACATATCTTCAGCTAAGTGAATCCAGTGGCCGGAAGCATTATGTTTTTGGGTTGTACATCTGTCCATCCATCTCCCTCCCATTCTTGTGAACATGATATTTCATGGTTGCCTTGAGGAACTTTCATCAAATTTGGTAGAAACATTCAGTTGGACTCAAGGATCAAGTGATTAGCTTTTGGTAGTCAAAGGTCAACATTGCTGGGACCTCACCCCAAAAAAATTTTTTGCCTTATGAACATGATATCTTGGTTCACTGATGTCATTTTGGTGGTCAAAGGTCACAGTGGCCTCTGTGACCTCATTTTATTGTGACTGCAATATGTCAGAGATACCTGGTGGGACTGAAGCTGCTTTGGTTGGTGGAGACATACAATCGGCGGATAGTAATTTAAAAATCCCTTTATCCTGTGATATTATGCACAAGGTGATCTCTGACAGCTCTTCTTGGTACCATTTTCCACAGTCAAAATGAAAATGTAATGAGACTGGAAAATGTTCTCACTGAAACAAGTTGGAAAGCAAAATTTTAAAATCAGTAATCTCTCAGGATTTGTTGAGTTGCTTATAGTTGTACCAAAAATCTACGTTTCACGCCAGTGTCATTCTTTTATTATCAGTTCTAAGCCCTCAACCCCTGTTAAATAACTCCCGTCATAGTGCTGCTTTACCTTCATTGTTTCCTGCTCTGATATGAAACTTGGAAGTGACATTAAAATCCACTGGGATTATAGCCTCTCACCTTGTTCCTCTCATATCTGCTTCAGAGAGCTGACCTCTTATTAATCATACACATCAGCGGCCAGAAGAGGCGCGAACTCCAAAATCTTGACAGTTTTCTTTTTCACTTCAGTGCATTCAGAGGGCAATTTCTGTTGTGAAGCAACATGAGACCAAAATGCTTTGACACAAAGCAGAACTGACGCCGACTTCCTCAGAAAAAGCAGAGCTTGTCTTATTCCATGGTCTGTTTTATGTCATTCTCCTTTCAACAGATGGAGGTTTTGTTTGGACTGCCAAGTTTTAGATGCATGTCGACTAAAGTGTCATCCACGGTTTTAAAGTGTGTGTGTGTGTGTGTGTGTGTGTGTGTGTGTGTGTGTGTGTGTGTGTGTTTTCATTGTTAAAGGAAGCAAAGCTGCGTGAGCTACTGGATGTCAGCACCCCGGCGGGGAAGATGGAGAACAGGATGCTGACGGTGGTGAGTGGCCCCGACATGGTCAACATCACCTACCTGAACTTCATGGCGTTCCAAGAGGAGATAGCCAAGGTAAAAACCACAACAAATAACCACCCTTCATTATGAAAGAATAAAAAAAGCAGCTATTAAAGACAATATATGTATACTATTGTTATTGGATGAAACCTTTGTTCCTCTTTGATTCATTCCGAAAATACTTATTAACTGTT